CCAAGCACTTCGATACAATTTCTACAAAAACACTGAATCTTTATGTGCTTTCTGGTTAAAATTAAAAACCGAAAAGCCAATAATTGTTAAAGAAGCCCTAAAAGTATTATTGCCCTTTTCAACAACATATATGTGTGAGGCTGGTTTTTCGGCTCTGTGTGTAATCAAAAACAATTACCGGAACAAGTTAAATCCTGAAATAGATATAAGGTGCTCCTTGACAAGCATTCAACCGAGGTTTGAAGATCTTTCAAAATGTATTCAAGCACAAGGTTCTCATTAAAACTGTGTAACTTACATTTAAAATTTAAAAGACTTAACATATGTATTGATATTTCTTTTTTTTAGGAATAAGTTAAAATGTCAATTATTTTCAAAAAGTTATAAATATATTTTAATTTGGTCAATAAAAATTATTAAAAACACTTGATTATTAATTAAATTTTCCTTGAATCGAAAAGTACTTTTGTTAATCTTTATTATTAAAAAAATAAATAAAAAATTTGTAAGTTAAAAATAATCATCATACTAGAATTGAAGATTTTTTAAAAATACGATCTAAAATAAAGCAATAAAAAAATTTTGACTTCTTTTTGGGTCGCGGCATGAACATATTTCTCAAATTTGGGTCGCGGCTTAAAAAGGTTAAGAACCACTGGTATACATCCATGAAAGAAAATGCACATGCTTTGTCCAACCACCAAAGATGTTTACAGTGAACAACCTTTGAGTGTTCCTAGGATCTTGGAGCTTTTAAATCTTCAATGGACCTACATTTATATTTTATGCAAACTGTATTTTTTTTGTACTTATCTTTTTTAGGTAATCGCAATTTTTCTTCTAGTGAGGCTAGGCACTTTTGTGCAAGGTGCTCTAAAAGCTTGCAACCATTTTTATTTACTTAAAACATCACTTAAATAGAATCAAATGCAGCTTCAGAGGTTATTGTTACGAACTATCTTTAAGGTTTCATATGTACCCCTGAATTAAATTAAAACCCATTTAATGGTGAAATATTTAAATTATTTTAATTAATGTTGCAGCAATACTTGTGGGATGACAACAAGGCAGTTGTTGACTGGTTAGTTGCTCAATTGGATACTTCTAGAGAGCGTTCTCAGATTTTAGAAAATTTACATTGCCTTCGTCGAGATTCAGTAATTTCTCAGATTAGAAGGTATGCTATCTGAAATATTTTGTTCAACAATAGTTAAAAGCTTTCAGAAAATGTAAATTCTTTACAAATATGTGCTATGTAACTTTAAAATATTTTTGTGTGACTATCTTTGGATAAATTTCTTTTTATTTTAAAAACCTTCAACTGTTTTTTTTTGCCTTCTTTTTTTCAAATTAAAATGAAGTTGTAATCTAAAATAATTGATGCATTTTTTTACTTTCCATGTCTGAGGAGTCATAAATCAGTTATAAATCACTATATTTAGCTTAAAAGAATACCATTTTTTTTATTCATTGTTTGTAATATTGAATTAAGATGTCTGAAGTCAATCCCCTGAAGATATCAAAGATTTTCTTGTTCTATGTTGAGATCCTATAGCTAAATATCAAAATTATCAGGATTATTTTTTTCAGTTTGTGTTCTGTACATTAACAAATTGCTAAAATTTTATTTAAAAATATGTTTGTAAACTCTTTGATAATGAACAAGATATACTATGAAATTTTCCTTACGAGGGAAGTGTACATCTATAAAATCTGTATTGAAACAAAACTAAGTTTAAATTAAAGAGCAGGGTTGAAAATTTTTTTATGGTAAAAATTAACCGCTGCTGAGGTAAAATTTTAATTCATTTACTTATAAAATAATAAATTTTTATAGCTCTACTGGATTCGTTACACAAGAGTAAGGCTATCCGCCTTACAACTGAGAGATCAAGAGTTCAAATCTCAACTGAGACATTTGATTTTTATATCTAAATCTTTGATCTAGCAAGATTAATAACTATTTAGTCTGTTTTATTCAATATATAAATTTTTCAATTTAATTTTTTTTATAAAATTTAAACTCAAATTTTCATGAATTTTTTTAGAAAAAAGTTGTAATTTAACTTTTTTTTTAATTTAACTGTTTTTAAGTTTGTATTAACTTAAATTGTGAGAATATAAACAAAATTGTATTATAACTCTTATTAAAAAATTAAGTATTACCAACAAAGTTTGTATTTTCAATGACATAATCTTTTTCAGTAATAAATAGTTTACTTAATTCATCTTTCCTTTCTATCTTTTTTTAACACGAATTATAATGTAATTTTGTTAGTATTTTCAGAACCAAATTTAATAAAAGCTTAAAATATTTGTTAAGAAATTCAACTAGACATTAAAAAAAATAAATTACTAAATTGCAAATAAATTTTCTTAAATAATTCATGTATTTTAAATCAATTTTATTTTATTTTTTTAAAGTTTAAATTTTTAAAAAAAATGTATTTTAATTAAAAAAAATGATTTAATATTGAATGAAACGTACTAAATAGTTATCAATCTTGTTCGATTTGACATCTTGAAATAGAAACCAAATGTCTCGGCTGGGATTTCAACTTCTGATCTCTCAGTTAGAAGGGTCGATAGCTGAAGTGTTCTGCAAGGAATCCACAAGAGCTAAAATGTTTTATTATAAGTAAATAAACTGAATCTTTAAAAAGGCATATTTTACCTGAGGGTCCACAGTAGTAGAAAATTTTTATCCTATCATAGGAGATATATTAGTTTACATTTGTTACTTATTGTCTTAATGCAAACTACGAACTTGTGTTTATTAAAATTAAGTAGCTTTCAGCATGTGAGTTAAAATATTTTTCAAAATTGTTTTACAGAATATTATTTTCGCTTTTTTATAACAACATAATTCTTACAAAATGCACAAGTTTTATTGTTTGTGAACTTATACATCTTATGCTACAAATTATAATTTTGTTTGAGTTCTTTGTGTCACTGCCATTTTAAAATAATTTTCAGTCCCTTTTAGATAGTGCCTTAGCTTTTTACCTTAGCTTTTTTATCTGTCACAAATGTATTTTAAGGGGACTATATTTTCTAGCAAAGCTGGAAAAAAATTATGAAAATAATTATGTATCAATAATTATTATTTTCTTCATAATCATGAAAAATTACTATATTACTATTTAAAACTATGATTTCAAAAATATAATAAACATAAACATTTAATATTAGCTCTTATAATATAAGTCATAAATAAAAAAAATATTACACTTAAAGCAGTGTTTTCATCATAGAAAAAAAATGGGTGAGAATTTCTCACCCTTTCTCAAAAACAGGGTGAGATTTCAAAAAGTTAAGTGAGATTTCTAAAAACTGAGAAACACAAAACTCTTGAAAAAAATCATTTCTTTAATTATAATACATTTTTAACGCCTTCTATTTTTTAAAGCATTGAATATTTTTGGTGCATCATCATAGAAGATTTTGCCTTTACAAGGTATTTGTCCATCTTACATAAGTGCATAAAAATTTGAACTTCGTACATGAAGAAACCTTACCTACGGTAAACTCGTGGTTGCAGAGAAATGTGTTCTGAAAAGGAGTTCCATGGTTGTGTTCTGTTGTTCGTAAAGGTTCTGAACAATACTGGCAAATAGGGAAGCTAGATAATGGGGCAGATGTTGAGAATAATGAAAGATCCAGGAAGAAAAGTGAAACGGATTTTATTCTAAATGGCGTAGTTCGAAGCTTTTTCCAAAATGCGAGAAATTTGCGAATTTTGAAATTGATATATAGAATGCGCGAATTTCTCGCGGTAATCCTTTTTTAATGCGAGAGAAGAAAAAAATATGCGAGATTCTCGCGTTCTCGCGCTGTAGTGAAAACACTGAAAAGGAATTTTATTGTTATTGTGTTATGTAGTTTTTGTATTTTATTAACTAAAAATTCTTAAGGTTTCCCATTCTTAATACGTTAGGTAAGATGGAATAGTTTGCATGAATTATATATTTTTTAAATCTTGTTTTTTTTTTCTTTTCATGTTTAGCTGATATATCCTCATGGAAACTTTCATAACAATAATTTATGTATTTCTTTTTTTACAGTATGCTGCATGAAAACCCTGAAATAACTATGGATTGTGCAGTTCATATTATTCAAAATATGACACCACAACAAAGAACTGATATCCTTAATACCATACGTGCCTTTGAAACTCATTTAAGTGACTCCGAAATACCTCATTCCAATGCAGATGCATGAGTTTTGAGCCTAATAGGAAATAATTTTTATACTTGCACATTTGTGTCTTTTTATTTCATGTCAGGCATTGCATTTAGTTTGCTAACTTTATATTAGTGTACCGTTTTGAATTTGTTTTTGTGAATGAATTTTTTCTTCATCTCTACACTGTTTAATTTTCCAACATAATCAAAATCAAACAAATTATCTGTTGTATCTAGAATTCTTTTGCACAAACACAGTGAGCTACAAAAAATGTGCAGCACTATGATGTTTCTTAATTCTTGTTTCTTATTTTCATTTAAAAAGGCATTTATAGACATTCCTTTCTTTTCTGGTTCCTAAGACACAAAAAAAAAAAGGAATAAGAAAGATTCTTACGAAGAAATTAAAACATATTTCTACTTCAAAATTAATGCAATTAACATTTTGCTCATGAATGCATATTATCAACTAAAAATATTAATGATATCAAATAAAGATTTTAAAGAAACTGAAACTAGGTTATCTGTAGGTAATGATTCAGTTCTATACTTTTTCTAGAAATTTTTGCGAGAAATTAAAATTTAAATTTTTTTGTATGTTTTAAAGATTTAGATAATTTACTAAAAGTAAAATGATTATTAAAAGTTTTATTCATAACTCATGACTGGTTGTTGAGTTGGATGCAGTGTAATATGTATTTGTTAAAATCACTATTCTCGTTGAATAGTTAACTGAAATTATATATTTTTGTGTATCCTGCTTTTAGTTAAGAATTTTTTTATTTGACATATCTTTAATTTTAATTTTATGTAAAAAAAAACACTAATTTCTATTTTAAATTAACTCATTACATTTGGGCGTTAAAAACGCATGCAAAACCTAATTTCCCATTAAAATTTCCATATCTTAAAAATATCCTGCTTTTAGTGTGACGTAAAGTAACATGAAGTCCTAAATCATGAAATAATATATTTGTGCGATTGCAAATGATTTGTCAAACTGCTAACTTAACTGGTGGTTTATTTACAAAATTTTTGTTTTATTCCTTTTAGTACTAAATTTATTTACACATATTAGATAAGTTTTTAATCCACATTCTGGTTAATTGCATTGCTTCAGAAATAAGAGGAAACATTTTTAAACTTATTAAATTTAATTGCTACTGCAGATTTAAATAATGTTTAGTTGTTTAATAGAACTGAATAAGAAGGAATGTAGAAAAAACTCGAATTTTTTATTTAATAAAAAATGCCTTTTTAAGGGAGAAATCTAAACATTTTGTAGTGTTTCAGACTGTTGTTCTTTTGATTTATTTTCTTAGCTCCATTCTCATTATTTAATATTTTTATCTATGTATTTTTTTAAATATAACATTGTAGATTAACATTTTATTTGACTATGTGTGTATAAATGTTTACCACATTCCAGCTTGTGATATTTCTATGAAAATAAAATGACTAGTTGTAAATATTAAGTTGTGAGATTTTTAGAAAGGAATTCAGTTGCCTAGTCCAGTTGCTAACATGCCATCAAATAAATCTCTTTATTTTTGTTACAAAATACTTCAGTAATGATATTCAGTGTCAATATGTTTGTGTATACAATCTTGTTCTGTGTTAAAAATTACAACTGTAAAGTATTTTCTGTATGTTGGGTGACATTTTATATTTTGTTTCTATCTGATTTCTTGTTTTCTGCTTTTATCAAAATAAAGCAGCTGAAATTTTATTCTTATTTATACATACATATCTATTTGTTATGTTTGTTTATGTGAAATATGCTCAACTGAATAAGCTCTTCTTGGTGGACTATATTTTGTTTTGTTCGAATGCATTTTATGTTTTTTATCAAGATTATAAAGAATAAGATAAATATTTTTCTTGCTCACACTTTAATCAAGTTACATATTGCTAAGGAAAAAATATCTTAAATTATTAAATTAAGTGGTAGATAAAAACATATTTTTGTTTATCAAATTTTATGTAATTATCAACTTTTGTTATTTATTTCCTTTATTTATTTATTTTTATTAATTAAATGAGTATTTTCTGACATTGAATGAAATTGTTTTCAGATTCTGTTAAAATCTTAATCAAAATAAATTTTTTTAACTTAATAAATACATATATTTATACTGAAATAAATCTGTTAATTTCTAAATTGGTATGTTTTTTATTGTGAAGTTGAATAGTTCTTAAATTATGACTATATTCCCTTTTTATTGTTCCTTTGACAGAGAAGCCAAGTAAATATATTTTTAGTAGTTCTATTTTTATAACAACACATTTATTGGATTAACATACAGTGAACTCTCACTTATGCACCGGTGTAAGGGGCCAAGAGAAAAAAGCGCAGGCGCATAAGTGAAAGAGGCGCATAAGTGAAAGAGGCGCATAAGTGAAAAACTTCACGATTCTAAAACGCAACTCAAATTGCAGTGACAATATGAATAAATATGTTTCTAAAGATTTAATGTTAATATTTATACTGTTTTGGTATTTACTATAATTATACAAAGAAAAAATTTAACATACCTTAAGACAATTTATTTTCTTACAAAATAATCTTAATACATGTTTGTATTTGTTTTTGCCGACGTTATTCAAAAACAGTTTTTTCCAGTTCATATAAATGGGATAAGGGGGAGTTTCAGAAGCAAAATTAAATTGTAAATAGTCAGGAATAGTGTCTAAAGCTTTCAATACTGCTGTGTGATTTGGAGAAACTTTATCATCTCGTCAGTATCATCCACCACGTTCTCATCATTCACAAGTTTTAGTTAGATATAAATGAACAGTTCTTCACAAAAAATTTGAGTTTTATGGGAGGGGGTGAAACATATCACATGATAAATTTCTAAGAAAAATACTTTACGTCATAATATGCTGCACAATAAGTTGTTCAAGTATTTCCCTCACTAAACAGATCACCTCCTTTTATGTACTCATAATGTCCATCTGCCTGCAAGTAAGTGATCGAGGTCTCTTTCATCTTTCGTATTCCAGGTGTCTTCTTTTTCTAGAAAACAGCATGGGGGTAAAACTAACCTCTGGACAAGAGGAATTGATCATTTTCTGAAAGATGAATGGGCTTTCATTGTTGTTGGTGTAAAAGATAAGACACCCTATTCAAAATTTTAGAAAGAATCTCTTTCCAGAAACAGCAAAAATGAAAAGGTCACAGGGGGAAGCAAATTCAATAGGATCTAACAACATATATTTCTTTTTATCTGTAACAAGGATTGCTCATTTGCTTCATTTTTAATTTAAAACATTTTTTTTAAACGAAAAAATATTTAAAGAATTAAAAAATTAAAATGCCAGCCAAAAATTTCGGCGCATAATTGAAAAATTAATTTTTAAAGCGACGCATAAACGAAGGATGTTTATCATTATTTTCCTATCTAATGCACTGGGACCTATAAAAATCGTCGTATAAATGAAAAAGGTGCATAAAAGAGGTGGTGCATAAGTGAGAGATCACTGTAATTTATTACTGTACAGACCCAGATTATTTCAAGTTATTACTTAATTACTTAAAATTCTTGTTAATTACTTAAAATTAGTGAGAAGCCTTTTTGTTACAATTTGAGTATATCTCAATGACCTTAAGTTTTAGTAGATTTATTTTTTAATACAACGCATTTAAATTATATTTTATAACTGTACTAACCCAGGTTGTTTCAAATACTCTTAAATTACCTTCAAATACCTTTAAAGCCTGTAAAAAGCAGATTTTGTTCCAATTTTAATCAAAATTTTGTTTGAAAATTTCGTTATTTATTGAATATGCTCATGCTTACTGTTATTTACATTTTGTCAAACATAATTTCTCATTTTTGCTTAAAATACCATTTATTTGAGACGTTCTTACTGAAGTATAATCATTTGTTAAACTGCATAAAATATTGAAATTTCACTAAAATTAATAATTTAAAAAAAAAAAAAGCATTTTCATTTTAACTGTAATTTGGATTACAAAAAAGTATATTATTAATAAAATATATGAAAATTTTAAACTAACTAATTAGTTTTTATGAAATTACTTCAGTAAGTTTAAACATAATTTTACACATATAATAATAAAATGTTTAAATCTTGATTTTAAAAAATAAATGCACATAGTTAAAAAAAAAAAAAAAAAAAAGGAATATTAGATGGAATTTTCACAATTGTGCGGATCAAACTTCTTGAAGGTTTTTCTAGAATTTGACATGTTATATGAAATCATGTAATGTATTATAATGTCATAAATTATATCATGTTTCTATTCCTGAAGAAACATGAATTACAAAATCCACAATTTTCTCTGCCTTAGTAAAGGAAAGATGCGCTGCTATAATAATATATGACTAGAGTTTTTCCCTTTTCAAAAACATTTTTGAGCAGTGCATGCCAGAATGTAGAGTCTCACTCCCCCCCCCCCNACCCCCCCCCAAAAAAAAAAAAAATTTTAAACCAACTCGTCCAATGATGCTTACTAGAAAAACAGCTCTAGCATTAGAAATGGAATTTTACAATTTGCTCATAAGTTTTTTTTTCTTTAATTACCAACTACTGTAGTTATTTTCCATATTTATTACACATCAACTGGGATGCCTGCTCTTCCTCTTTAGTCAAAAGACATTAAATTGTAAATAATTAAAAACAAATACTTGCAAATTTTAATTTTACTAAAGCTTTAAAAGGTTCATGATATAACTGGAACTATGGCCCAATTTACATGTGCTAAAACAGGGTTATCACTCCATAGGAAAAACCTGGAAAATACTGGGAATTTAAAAATTGCCTAAAATAACGGATAATAAAGCAGGGAATTTTGAGTTTTTCTTACAAACTGGGGAAGTACAGAAAATTTTATTTCTTATTTTCCTTTTTTAAGTGTGGTGACCACTCAAAGCACAGTCTAGGAAATTTAAGGTATACTAAACTATTTCATTTACTAAAGCATTATTTATTTTAAGTATGTTAAGATGTTGCTTATTTCTTTAAGTTTTTCAGTTATTGAAATAGCTAGACTAATATAGGTCACTCAAGAGCTCAATGATTGTATGTTTCCTCTTAATACGATATATTGTGTATTATATGTGCAGAGAAAACACAGAGAAATTTTTTCCGGATTTGAGTGGCAACTCTACAAAATGTCGGGTGAAAGCAGGAATTTTCTACTGGAGATGACGGAGTGGGAAAAGGATAGAATGCTTATTGGTTTGTGTGGGTGTAGACTAGACGTTTGGGGTTTGCTGGATTGTATTTTCTATATTATAGGTCAGTTTTGGAATTTCTTTTCTTTAAGCATTGAGGAAAATTTTATTACAGTATATTCAGGTACTATCAATGATAATATTCTATTGTAAATTACAGCGTATTTAAGTGCAATAATGATTTAATATGAATTTTTTTAAATGAAGTTAGGCTAAATGGGAAAATTCGCCTGATCTCAAGTGTGCGTATACTCTCGGAGAGTATGAACCTGGGGAAGTAGTTATTTCTACGAATTTCAGTAATTGTTCTTAAAAAATTTTCTAACTTTCTGGGGACAGAAAATGATCTCAAACCTTAACATATGTTCTGAAATGTCTCTGAAATACTTCAAAAACATCTAATCTTTTTTATATGCAGGGAGATATCAAAGAAATCAGAAATGCACATGTTTTTTCTTAAAAAATTGTCTGACAGAGAAAAAAAACATACTCGTCTAAAAATAATTTAAGCAAAAAACAAGTTTTAATAATCATGTTCTTATTTATTTTATTTGTATTAAACAATTACAGAATATCAACTGATGCATCAAAACTTTATACTTCTGAAATTAAGTTTGAAGATGGTGCAGCACCTAATATTAAGTTGTCAATTTCTTTTTGTGCAAATAAATTAATATTCAATTATTTTTCCAATCTTTCCATTGCTTTCCACTGATGTCCTCAAATCATTGTTTAGAAATCTGGTCACCTTATTCAGACAAGATCAACTCTTGTTTCTGCGATTTTTGGTTGTAGTAGGTCAGTGTAATGCTAATATTCATAATCCTATGGTTTGGACTGAACGGCTGTGAACAGATGATATAAAATCTTTGACATAAGGTGGATATCAATATCGAATCTGTCATGTAAGCTTCAAAATGGTTGCGCTTATTTTAATGACGAAAGTGCATACATATAATTGTATTCTTATTAAAATGTTATACCAACTATCTTCCAAAAGATGACTCGAAAAATTCAATCCGGAGTTTAAATTTTAATGCCTGAATTGAAAGAGTTTCTTTTTTTAATGCTTATTTAGAGGGTTAGTTTACCGCCTAAATTCAGAATGCTTTGTATAGATAAAATTGGGGAGAGAAATTATTTTATTAGTATTGATCAAATCTCTGATGGATATACAAAGTGATTCAAAGTTGACTTTCAAACACAGAAAATTTAATATAGATTAGGTAATTGTTGCTTGCTCGCGCCTTAGCAACAAATAATGTTGAATTTTGTTTCTTTTTACAAAATATTTGTTTTGTGGCTGCTTGTCATTTCCTTGAAGGATGTACCTCGTTCGATGACCGCCTTTCTTTCTAGATGATGTCCCTTTGCAATTTGTGTTATTTATCATGGCCAGGATTTTTAACTTATTCTTTGTTTTAATTGTGAAACAAAGAACAGGTTATTTGTAAATGAAAAGAAAGCAGGCAATTATTTGAAACTAGTAATCTAAGCACTAACATTCTTCTGAAACTTCGGGGCACGAACCTTAGAACTACTGTGAACGTTTCTTTACTCTCTATACAATTTATTTTTTTATATGTGGCACATTTATTTAATGCAGGCTTGTATACTCATTACGCAAGACTGTTTACAAACCCTCGTTCTGTTGAAGAACATAACATAAATTAGAGAAAGAGAGCAAAAAGATTCATCCACAACTGCGGCGCGACAGAATTTGAACAAGCTATATCCAAGCTTCAGAGCATTTGGTTGAAAGTTTTCCTCGATACTATGCGCAATGGTTAGGAAATGGTCTATAAGCTAAGTAGAATTAGTTTAGTGGATGGGGTTAGGCTTCTGGCGGTTATGAAGTTACACTTAGACTCAACCAAGCTTAGCATTACAGCCTGTAACACTATTATGACCTAACTATAAAACTAAATGTTGCAGTGTAACATATCACTAAGGCTTA